GCATACGGTGGTAAATTCAGCGGGTCACTCCATGGAAGATAGCGCAGTGCGTATCTGACGAATTTACGTTGAACAGCTTCGAATCGTCCACTCCATACAGCTTGGTAGGGATTCCAGACAACACACGTGAATTCCAGTAGTGAGCGTACCAATGAACAGTAAAGGGCTTTAAAACACAGAGGATCACGAAACTCCTTAGATATCTTGAACATGAATCCAAGCTGTCGATTAGCTTTGTCGATCGTGGTTGAGAAGTGGCGAGCGTATGTGAGCTTTTCATCCAACATGACACCGAGGTCTTTAACGTGAACTGCAGCAACGTTATAATCAAACAAGATGGCAGTCCTAGTTCGACGGAAACTAATTACGCAGCACTTTGAGACGCACAGGACCATAAAATTACGTTCACACCAATCATTAAAGATTTCAAGAAGGTTTTGTAGTTCTAAACAGTTGGCATAGCCTCGAACGACTAGATAAATCTTCAAGTCATCGGCAAAAAACAATTTACCTCCACGTAGTAGAATAAACGTTACATCGTTCACAAATAAAGAGAAGAGCATTGGTCCCAAAGTGCTACCCTGTGGAACTCCTGATCTGTTCGAGAAACAGTACGATGAGTAGTTTCCAATGCATACAGTAACTTCACGTTGCACGAGGTACGATCTAAGCCAGCTGCAGAAGGAAACAGAACATCCAATTTTTTCAAGCTTTGCTAGCAGAACGTCATGCACAACTCTATCAAACGCAGCTTTAAGATCAGTGTAGATAGCATTCACTTGAAGTTTCTTGCATACATTTTCCATACAGAACGACGTAAAGCTGACGAGATTAGTTTCCACGGAGCGGCCAGGAAAGAAACCATGTTGACATGTACTTATGTAATGCTTGCAGGAAGCAAACAATCTCTCATTTATCAGTGACTCAAACACCTTAGATTCAACCCCAAGCGAGGTAATCCCACGGTAGTTTTCCACATTGCGTTTGTCTCCTTTCTTGAAAACAGGGAACATAGTAGACCGTTTCCATAGTGCGGGAAATTTCTGTTGACGAAGTGACAGATTGAAGAGCAAGGACAACGGAGCAGCTAAGATATCGGAGCATTTTTTTAGGACTGCAGATGGAATAACACTCGGACCTGGTGAAAATGATGATTTGGTTTTACTCATCACAGAGAGAACCATTTGTACATCTACGGCAAAAACATCCATGTTTACGACGTCGGTTGGCACATCACGGACGGCTCGCTCAATTTCTGCTTGCGATGGGGAGTCATTCGAGAAGACGCTTAAGAAGTGCCTAGCAAATAGGCTGCATTTGTCCTCAGTTGTCAATGCTACGTCATTGCCGAGAAACATTTTTGACGGCAGTCCAGTTTCCTTCCTCTTAGTATTCACAAACGACCAGAATCCCTTAGGGTGGCATTGCAGATTATGTTGAGTACGAATTACATACCTCTTGTAAAGAAGCTTGCTGTAGTGGCGATAATCATTGCTGGCAATTGAAAAATTTCGCTTGGTAAGGGTACATCGTCGATGAGTGAGAGCACGGAGAGCTCTAGATCGCACTCGTTTCAGGTTGCGGAGAGTAGCGTTAGACCAAGGCGGTTTTCTTGGAGGTTGGCACTTCGGTACTGAAGCACAAACACAGTCGCGCAAAAGGCTATTATAGCGAGCGGCTGCTGTATCGATATCAAGGTCATTCAACACGTTCCAGTTGATCCGGGACAAGGAACGCTTCAGCAAACGGAAATCGGTCTTCCGGAAATTGAGCCGAGTGGCAGTCATGGTTTCATCAAAACGAATTTGAGATCCGTTCGCGATAGATATATCCAAAGCAGGGTGGAAATTGTCAAGAGGAACGATGACATCAGGCGCTTCAGCGACGACACAGTTCAGAAGTGCACTTTCGCTAACAAAAACCAAGTCAAGAAAACGAGACTGGAAATTGGGAACAAGGTTTATCTGGCTCAGTTCATGAAAAGCCGTGCCGTCAACAAGCAAGCGGCTGGCAGGAGTAGTTGAAGATGCAATCGGATCTGGAAACGCATAACCCTGGCCTGAGGGTGACCAGCTAAGCACAGGCTGATTAAAATCACCAAGCAGAAGAAGCACATCCGTTATATCAGCCATGGACGATGCAAATTCTGTAGCATCCAGATGAAGCTGCATTGTGGTGCAGTCATGTCGACGTTCAGGGGCAATATACACCGCTCCAATGAGGATGTCCCGCGAAGTGAGGCTGACCTTAACCCAAACCGCTTCAATTGTAGTAAATAGTTCGTTGGAGATTACACAGGAGGCGAATTCGTTGGAAACATATTCCCGTCAAGCGCAGCCAGATACACATCGTCCAATTTAGTCATGAGCCCCCTGGTGTTCTGATAGTAGACACGTAAACCACTAGAGGGTTCGGTGCGAGCCGTGTCAATGATAACTTGTCCAGGATCCACATGAGAGAACGGTGAACTATCAGGCAGCGAAAGATCACCTGACGTAGAAAGGCTCGAAGTGGTGGCCATAAGCGAAGATGAACTGAAACGAAGTGGCGGATCAACAGTTGAATTCACATGGACGAGTTCATACTTGCCGTAAACGAGTGGTTGGAAGACCCCTACACCAGGCCCGCACACAGGGTCGGGACGGCTGCAGGTCGCTGGCAGGAATAACTCGACTGTGATGGATGAATTAGGGGCTTCCATAACACATATGGCAGGCGTGCGTCCCGGTGTCCAACATGGGTCAATCACGAAGGAGTTTATTGTTGAAGTTCGACTGGAAGTGATAATCGTTTCAGGGACGGAATTATTCAGAAAGCGATCATACTTGCCTGCGGTTGGATTTTGGAAGACCCCGTTTCCGGACTCAAACACAGGACCGAGACGACTGCAGGTCGATGGCAGGAGAGGCTCGTCTGTGATGAGCTGATCAGGGGCTTCCAAAATGCTAGTGGCAAGTGAGCGTCCCGGTAATCGATTGATAAAAATGTGGTGTTGAGGCTCAAGTTCCTGACCCGGCAATATCACTCCGTCATAGATGATTGATGACTGGAATTGGCGGACTTTGGAGTTGTTTGAGGTATGTTTATTTGTAACATAGCTTATTGCGTGCTCTCAACTTAGTGTTCTAGATGCACTTCCACAGTTATTAATTGAGAGCTTTCGATGCCTGTACCATTTTTGCATTGGTATAATTGTGTGGCAAGTCCAATCATACTTCTATGCCCAGGGAAGTCGAGAAATTTTCCAACCCGAAAAATTCCTAGACCGGACCGGGAATCGAACCCAGCCACCTCCAGCAAGGTCTTGCTTTGTAGCTGCGCCTTTACCGACTGAGCTAATTGCTTTTCAAATTTAATTTTTTTTAAACGAGTACTGAGGATCCCAGAGTTAATTTGCTAGTATTTTGTTTAACGGAAATTTAAGCATTATAAAAGCACGATAAAAAAAAGACGTGAAACTCAGACAATTTAGTTATTGAAATGTGAAATTCTGAATGAGTATATTATCAGAAAAACATCATAAGTAATAAGAAAACAACATTGAATTTGTTATGGCTATATCGGGAATACATTTCATAAGTAAAGGTTTGAGTGTTTTTTCATACAGGTGAAAAACACGAAAATTGCATTTTAATATGTTTGTAAAACATGTAACACAAGTTAAGAACGCAGTGTTCCAGAAGCCATTTGAATTTCATACACAAGGATGAATCAAATCAAAACCATTCATCAACATCAAGTAGCAGCAGCCCTAGGTCTCCTTCGAGGAGCAGTCTCAATCATCATGTTCATAGTCAGCAAATTCATCGAAATAAACTGAGCAGCATAGCAACAAACCAAACAAACTGAAATGCGCTTCATCAGCAACATGCGACCGGACGACGATTCTATTTCACCACATAGCTAAGGCACGTTTCTCCAGTGAGGCCTCTGTAACTTCTGACAAATAAAATTAAATTCATTATTGTTTTGGACTTGGAAGAGGTAACATCTAGTTAGTTCCTTTTTTAAAAACGTATCACAAAACCATGAGGTTTTAACTGACATACTTTATAAAAACTTTATACGATATCAACGGAAATACCCTAAACCAATGTTTCTAATTCAGAAAAAGCGCAGAGAGTAAATTTAATCATTATATTATACTATCAAAGCTACCCGCATTATCAAAGAAACCCCTTTTTACGGTACCATGATCGTTCCCGTCCAAATGCATACCTTTAATTAATTCTAGGAGATGATTTGAGGTAGAACCGAACTTTACAACTTCAAAACCTCAGAAAAATGTTCCTATGAAAACAGAACCCACACCGACAGAACTAATCGGATTAATTTTATTTTCATACCAGTCCGTTGTGTGAAGATCACCCGCGTTGTTATAGCAGATGAACGGCATTTCACCGTCCGCTTCTTAATCGTAAGAATAGATACGTAATCCACGGGCAAAGAAAGCGAGCTAGAAATCGATTTGTTACAGACTTATTTTCCGGCGATTAAAATCAGTTTTGTTTTATGATGGCACTGCTACGTGTGTCGGCTTCCCTTTCGAAGAGCTCTTTCGTTCATGTCAATATCCTCTACAAATCAAATTGTTTCATAAACAGAGCATAGGAGCAACCACGAGGGATTCATATGGTTCAGGATCAGTATAATTGAAGTTGGCGATTGTGCAAAACTCATGCTTTCAAATAAAACATGTTTTGTTAAGAATCTTTATTACATGAATTTCAGATTCTAGCACTTGTTAATAGGCTCGCGGAAACGAACAACCATAAGAGGTGCTTTTTCGCGATCATAAAACGTGCCGAGGAAATTAATGGCAGACTTTGAACTGCCGGAATCGACTTAATAGCTACTGAAACATTCTTGAGATGGTCAATAAAAATCACATTGCTAGAATTTATACCTATTTTAAGCTGTAGCAGTTAATTTTAATTGATTTCTTTTCAGAGGAGACGAAATCGATAATGACCTGTCTGTTTTTCGTTTCTATTTCGTAGTTACTGGTCAACGAACAACGCCTCCTGAGCTTCCAATCTATGGTGATCCAGAAAGCGAGATCCAACTAGACCTCAACTTCCCTAAGGGCAATCCAACGTTCACGTTAAGTGGCAAATCCCTGCAATTAATCCATCCATTGGATCGCGATGAAGAAAATCTCAGTCACATAGTCTTCCAGGTACGTATGTGGCTTATTATCCACGCCCAATTTTTCCGTTGTCACATTCAAACCTTGAACTTACCGCGACTGTTTTTTTTTCTGGTTCTTTTACTTACAGATAAGCTGTACAATCCGATCAACGCGTCGAAGGCGCAATATTCCGATCATAGTGCGAGTGTCGGATGTCAACGATAATCCACCGATGTTTATCAACACACCATATGAAACCGTAGTGCCCGAGGTGAGTCCATGTTTCCAGATGAACTATGGCTTCTCTAGCCTGAAACTCAAAACACATGTTCGCAAACGATCTCTCCTTTTCGATCTCGTATGACGCGGATAGATACAACCGGATTCATGATTCTACTGAAAGGGGCAGTTTAGTTGTTATTTATGGGAGGTTCTAGTGTAGAACAATATGCGCACAGCAGCTCAATACAAGATCTCTGCAGTTTTTTTTTCTAAAACCCCACCGATAAGTGCTGAGTAATTTTAAAAATTTTTCTAAAACTTTCTATTTTTGTTGGAGAGTTATATCGAAAGTGAGTAATACGGGACAAGTTGTTAAATTCATAACATTTTAGATGCTAATTTTTTAACCGTGCATTCCTAAAGATACCAGTGTTTATATGCATTAAACTTCTTTGAGTCATGAGACCGATGAAGGTTCCTTTCTTGAAACGCCTGCAAGAATAACGTACATTATTTATTGCCATCGATGCATCGTCACCGCTCTACACTTGAGGCCTTCTAGAGCATCTTTCTTGCGAATCATTCTCATCTCAGCCCTTCAATAAGCAGTTCCCTTTGCAAACCTTGAGAATCTACGGACCCTATAATTTTACCCCGCAACTGTTGAGTGGTGGTAGCGGCTACCTACTAGAGAACACTCTTTTAATTCGCTACGCATAATAATCGCGGCATACCTATGCTATGCCTATATGAAAGGGTCCCCTTCTTGCAACGTTGATCATCGTCCCATGTTCGAGGCATTCATACCTCATTATTATACACGAGCGGCACCGGCGACGACGCTCGCTCGCTCCTTCAACAGTTCATTCGATGATATCATTTCAATGGCGCAAGAAATCCCAAAATGGGCAAACGAATGGTACGGCTCTGGCTCTGGAGCAAAAATTAATTCACTGCTCATATCCGAATGTGATTATCATTTGCTTTGTGTTACCTGGGTTTCGCTCCGCTTTTTTCTTTCGCGATTCTATGCGAAAATGGTTAAGTCTTTTGCATGAGAATTCTTAGTGAGTAAAGTGTACGTGCATGGCGTTTGCGGGACGACGACGCCATGTCAGAATGCAGTGGATGTCACCGTGGGATCGAGGAAATTTAATTTGGGAAGGGAATTTAACATGTTTACTTCATCACGCGGCATATGCATACCTACATTGTTACAGAATTACAGGCGTGTGTGTGTGCGTTATTTAAAAAGTTATCACGATCAACTAAAGTTATGGTTTCATTGAACCCATTCGGAGAGTGATTTTTTTTTTTTCATTTCGATCGATGATTTTTATGGTAAACAGTATTCTTCTTGCTAGGTAGGTAGTTCAAATGCTCAATTGTTTCCAAATAAGGTTCTCATTATTTTCCCAAAATATGTGTTATTTTTCGTTGTCGGGGAATTCAACTACAGCGTCCATGATTATTTTTTTTTTGTAATTTTCCTAGCTTCAATTAAAAAGTGGTCTAAATGGGATGCTACCGCCAGAAATAAATCATTTTGATTTTTCTAAAAATATTTGAAAGAGATATCAAAAAACTAAGAATATTTTTTTTCTAATTCTCAACAAAATTTAAGTGTAAAATGTTTTTTACTAAACGCGGTAAAAAGTTTAACCTGAAAATAACCTTTCGGTTTTGATTAGAAGGGTCCAATTTTTTTCCTGATTAGAAAGAAAAAAATATGTATGCATAAAATTTTTCTCATGAATCTTAGAAAATAAGAACTTATTTTCTTAGATTTTCCAAAAATTTTAGAACAATACAAACGTATTTGGAGATGGTTAACGTCAATATCAGGCTTAAAATGAACATTTTATATGATAGATCAGGAGATGAAGGTTTAGAATAGATAGTTCCGTTATTGCACGGCAGTGTGAAAATTGTGTATAGAAAGTTGAAAGCAAGCAAAGGACGGTTTTGAGGAAGGTACGGAATTGGATCGAACATTCCTTTTACCACACTCACCCGTTTGTAAGGAGTAGTGAGGGGTGTTTCCCCCCTCAACCACTGGCAAAAGGAATGATGGCGGATTCGCTCTTGTACCTCCGATGTTCGGAAACGGTTCTATCGATCGTTACACATTTGAGTCGCCATCTTACTTAAGCATCTAGTCGATGGTTTTTAAATTGCAGTTCCCTCTACCACTCTCTGTGCTCCCGTCATCGTCAAGTTAATATAGAATCTAAATTTATTGATAAACATAGCAAACAATAAAAATGTACCAAAAACATTTTTACGGGAAAGCCATGTTTAAAGCTTTGAAATTTTTCAAAAAATGCCGATAACAAGCTTACTCTTAAGGCCACATACAAAGGATCCCATGGTGTACCTGTCAAATTTAAGTCCACGCAACGCAAACGAATCCATTTTGCGTCGCTCTTTAGAGCAATACCTACGGCGAAAGGCAGGGACGACGTAAACAAACAGTTCACTTTTCTTTTAGTAATTCCCATGTAAAGATCAAAAGACCAGTGCAATATAAGATTGCAATAAAATGAGCTCTTACTTTGAAAAGATGATCAGAAACTGATTTGGGGCCATCCACAAATTACTTAACGGGTTTTGAGCAGTTATTTGACCCCCTCTAAGGTCTGTATTCACAATAACCCGGACACATCAAAGCATAAGTAAAACACAAATTTTGCATTATATTTCAATTGTAGCTGTTTATTTCAGATTCATGGGATATGAGTTAAAAATTCACGAAGCCAAAAAATAGTTATTCGGTATTTGCATAAAATTTTCGAACTTTGCGCTCAACTCCATCCATAAGGGTTTGCACAGACTCCTCAGATACCGTGGTGGCCGTCTTTGTCCAAATTTGTTGGAAGTGTTTGATATCTTTGATTCCTTGATTGTTTCCGCTTCATCAGAACCCAATATCTCTCGATTGGACGTAACTCTGAATGGATTTGCGGTTTTTGGTACAATAATCACTTGATTTGCTTCGTGCCACTACATCACAGTTTTAGCATAATGGCATGATGCCAAATCGGGCCAGAACCAAGGGTTTTCTTTGTGGATTTTGATGAAGGGCTTCTGTAAGCAATCTTTCTGGTTAATCTCCTTGTTGATTGGGCCTGTACCCGAGCAGGAATGAATATCTCGAACCTTAAATTGGTATGGATGAGCCTGACATAAGAGGTAAAATGCTCCCACAATACCATTCCAATACCAAATTATGATAATGCAATACCAAAACAACACCACACAGGTGAAACGGCGTTCGGTGAAATGGCATTCGGCCAAATTTTCCATAGTAAATTTTGTTTCGTCCCTCCCTAGCTCCAAATTTGGTTACGCCCTTGCTCAGATGTAGCATTTTTTGGCCATAGCAGAATAGAAAGCCAGCCCTGAAAGCTGCATGAAATCCACCAGGCCATAAGTTCCATCGTCCATATTCGCAGTACAGTCAAATATTCGCAGTACAACCGTCGAGCCCGTGATTTTGCTGTCAAATTATGTCTCCCGTTGCGATTTGGAACTGTTTTTACTTTATACGACTTCAGCCCAAAAACTAGGTGACATTCCTATTTTACGATCCAACGTTCGAACAGAGAGATTCGGGTTTTCCTTCAAAATCCTTTTCACCTTTCGGTCCACACAGCATAAAATAAATTTTAATATAACATCCAAGAGGATGCACTTCAATCATGTCGAAAATCTCTTGTAATATTGATGGCCGTAAAAACAAACAAATGCAGTAAAAGTAGCGTAATGTCAGTTCATGCACTGTATTAATGATAATTTTGTCCGTTTTGCCAAGTAATATTACACCATGTTTTTGACACAATTGGAGAGCATCCACTTTGATATGATATGAAAATTATTTTTTGCTGTGCATGACAGGATCAGCACGTCCAATGGTTTTTATCACTTTTGTGTTTCTTCTCGACCGTCAAACATTCCGGAAATGGTTTGAGCACACCGTGAACAGTAGATTTAGGTAAATACATTTTTTTTTTGCAGTTTCCCGTATTGTCTGTAATGTATTACATCCGCATAAAATCCACTCACGCATGTGTTTTTCATTCATCGCCATCTTTACATGGAATGTAAACACCAATCATAGTCTTTTTCATCAATGACTCCCAGCTATACCTCAGCGAAATTTTTCAAAAGTTACAGTGATTTTATGGTGATTAAAGGGTGATACGGTCAAAATTTGGTCAAGGGAAAACGCGTGTAAATCGGTGAAATCGTTTATTTAAAAAATCAAATTAAATTTCTTTTTCAAGTTCAATTAGTATAAAATTTAGGAAAAATATTCAGTTAGGCTTCCGCTTTTCCAAATCCGAATTGCCGGGCCTTACGCTTGACCCCTGCCATCAGATTTTGTACAGCCACCTTGTCCACCTTCTTCGCCGCAGAAAGCCAGTTTGCCTTGAACTGCTGCTCGCCCTTAACAGTTTTTTGGTCTTCTTTAGGTTCCGCTTGACAATAGCCCAGTATTTCTCAATTGGGCGGAGCTCTGGCGTTTTGGGAGGGTTCTTGTCCTTGGGAACCACCTGCACGTTGTTGGCGGCTTACCACTCCATGGCCTTTGAAAGTTTCATGTGCTTGAAAACATCTGCTACCTTTCCCCTTCCTTTTGCCGTATAAAACTCCTGTCCCGGAAGCTGCGCTGCTTGTAGTCGGCTTTGACGTAGGTTTCGTCGTCCATTACCACGCAGTCAAACTTCGTCAGCATCGTCGTGTACAGCCTCCGGGATCGCGCTTTGGCCGTCGTATTTTGTTTATCATCGCGATTTGGAGTCACTACCTTCTTGTAAGTCGATAGTCCGGCTCGTTTTTTGGCTCGATGCACGGTTGTAGACGATACACCCAGCTTATTTGCGGCATCTCGGAGAGAGAGGTTAGGGTTTCGCTTGAAACTACCGGCAACTCTCTTTGTCGTCTCAGCGGCTTCCGGTTTTCGATTTCCCCCCGATCCAGACTTCCTGGCTGTCGACAAACGTTCCCCAAACACTTTAATTACATTTGTAACGGTTGATTTGGCAA